AATGTGATTTAGCGATTAAAGTAATATCTACCTGACCTCGATGCACAAAATGTTTAGCTAAGGAGCCGCACGCGCTGGGCGATTCGTCTCGGCGTCGATTGCGGTCTGTCCGCTGAACTCTTCTCCATCCATGCACACGACTTCGTTGACGAAAGCCCAATGCGATCCGCGATTTATATGATGTGAGCCATTGATGATATAAAAAGAATAATGTGTTTATAGAAAAATAAATATTCTTTATTTATAATAATGACCTGTTTTATTCAATGACTAAAATATTATAAGACGTTATTAGGTATAAACCTAAAATTAGGTTTAATATTAGAACAAACTAACAAATAATTAATTACATAGTTTTTCAATAAAATATAAATAATCTAAAGAACTTTTCTTATTTTTTTTTTATACAACTTAGAATGGCATACAAGCTGACAGTCCACCTGACGGAAAGTGGTAACCGTCGCCTATAGACATGAGCAGTATCATGGACATAACAGAGTATACTGTTTCGCCCATGATACCCCCCATGCGTTGCCATTCCTGAGGACTCAGGTGTTATTCCTCTGTACCTAGTAAATTCACGCCATATCCCACCCTTCAAACCGAAACACAGCCATGCAAACACAGCTGCTTCACGGTTGAAACACGAATGGGACAGAGGTACCCAAGCAATCGACTTTTGTACAAAGTCTCCTTCTGGTAAATTTAATAATAATTTAAAGTAATCCCACTTAATCCCGCCTTTTGTATCACTTCTTATTAAAATTTACTGTATTTATTATTTTTATAAATGGTGCAATAAAGTGTAAATAAATCGTAAATGGTAATAAAATATTATTTTATGCCCTTAACCTATGGTAACGTGCGGTTTAGCGACAGAGCGTAAGTTAGAGTACGTTATTTTACTTCTAGAAAAATACCTATAGATATACCAACTTATATGTGAGAGGAATAGTACAATCTGTCGTAGACTACTGGAAGTAAAATTAGAAGAACAAGAAATTTTCATAATCATCCAAAATATGTGGTAGAAATAGTCAAAGCCGATCTTAGCTTTCTTGGCGCTCCCGGGAAGATTCTGATGCTGAACCTCCTGTCGACGAAAAATAAGATCACCAATTTTATTAACGTGTCTCAGAAAACATTATTCACGGTGCGTTCAGGTTCTTTCTTCTCCCATCGTTAAGGCCGATACCAATAGTAAGACAACCTTTACGGGTTTCATAAAAAATATACTATGAATAACATAGTTTATGTACGAATAATGGTACCATAAGAATAAATAGCATATGCTTTGTATTTAATTATTTGTAGTAACTAATACAGAATAGATCGGTATTACAGGAAAGTGGCAAGTAAACTGTCACAGTTTATTTACATTTCACTTTGTACTTTAGAAAGAGGAAATTGAAATCGCAAACCGCTTAATCCGCCAACATTGTTATAATAATATTGGGCTCTCTCCTTCGTGTGTTGTAAGTTACCACAGTGGACGAAGTTGCTAAACTGGTTCATTATAATTTTAAACTTTAGTATAGTCGTGGTCCTAATATCAGCGAATTTGGCGACAGCAAGTTCCTCTTCTTCTGTTCACTGATAATTATGTAATGGTATATACTGGCGAGGCACCAGCAAAGGATGATTAGTGAGGAGGAAAAGGCAGGTCAGCCCATCGTGACGAATTCAACGATAAATTAGGAACGATGGTTTTCAGGAGGAATCGCGTGGATATAACCTGATAGCAAAGGGGACTAACTTCCTCATTACTAACAATCCCTTCCCCCCTAGCAGTGTATTTGGTTATTGGCAATTCGCTTGTGACTTCAGATAGGCGTGTAAACAAGAGCACCAACAGCAACATGAAGTCGCGAGGACTCGGCATCATAGCGATTAAATAATATATAAGCAATTTATAGCATACATGTATACCGTTTATACTAATATGCTCATAAATATTCTGTGTTCGCAATGTTTTTAAAAACTTAAAGAGTTCCTCTTAGCAGATCTTACGTGAATAATAAATATAATAGGAAAAAATAGAAAATGTTTACGTAATATGAACGCTTTAAGGGTTCATATTACTTCCGTTAATTACCCTTCGACTCAGTGCAACGACGAGATCTTAGGCTTACAAGCAATATCGAACCCTTAAGTCTTAGGAGAAATTTTCGCTCATTCTGCGTGTTCTACTGCTTGTACAACGGATTGTGCTGAGAAGAATTGTTTAATTTGATGCCCACGATCATTTTCTATCATCTTACGGCTTACCATCGACAGGGAGTTTATCCTCATACCAAGATGGTCGCGTAAAGCGCGGTTTCAGAGATGTTTTCTCCCACGAACACACAGGCTATGGAATGAGCTCCCTGTCGAGGTTTTCCTAAGAGATTACAGCATGGGGTTCTACAAAAAGGGGGTAAAGGGTTTCTTCAGGGTCAGCAACGCGCGCGTAATACCCTTGGTAATGCAGGCGTTCATAGGCTACGGTAACCGCTTACCATCAGGTGGGCCGTATGCTCGTTTCATCTCAGTGGTATAAAAAAAAATAAGAAATGTTAAACAAGCTGCTTCGTTGATGGATAGTGAGTTATTTATTTCTTCATTACATTATTATTAAGTCAGTAACCAACGATCGTACTATAACACTATGCATTTATTTCAGTACCTAGAGCATTAACAATATGACAAACTATTATTAATCTCTCTCCAATCCGTATTAAATATTGAAATGAAAAATTAGAAAATAAGTTACAACGAGAAAAAGCGTATCTTAGTATTAAAAAAAAAGCGTAAGTAGTAACATGGGCTTACCTGGAGCGTCACAGTATATTCTGCGATCTCCTTTGTTATGTTTATAGGGGGCGTAGTAGTACAAATAAGTTACTAATGTATGTCATGAAATATAGTATTAGATATTCATGTATACAAATACTTGTTATACAAGTATGAATAACAAATATGAATAACTATGTAGTCAGTCCTCTAGACAAGGTGCAATGGAATCTATCGATACAATCGTTTCGATCATTGCTCACATGAGTAAGAACAAAACAGTGCATCCACAGACATAGTACATCTTATCTCATTAACTCGTTAGCGATAACGATTCTGTCAATACGTTTCATTTGTATTTTGTCTAGAGGGTAGATTCAAGTTAAGAATGCATTTGTTCTATAATTATAAGTCATCGCCATAGATTATGAACAATATCTGTGAGGTCTGGTTCCTTGCAAAAACTGCATAATCACTGTGCAAATAACTGCTAATTGTCAGAAATGGTATAATGTGGTTTGATTGCTTCCTAATCGCTTAATGATTTCAATATTTTTTTAGGATTCCATACCAACAATAGTATAAAGGAATCCATATGATACGACTTTGTCCATCTGACCGTCCATCTGTCATAGCGTTTAATGAGATTAACTACAACTGTTTTTTTTTTATTTTATAGCAGTTTTCTGTGAAAGGAAAATCAGTTTTTTTTTTGTTATCATTTAGTGCCTTAATGACTTAACAAAATTTCAAAATGTTTCTATTAGGCCATATGAGGTATCACATGAAAGAGCTTCTTTAATATATTTTTATCCGTCTTTAAAAAAAGGAGGTTTTTAATTCGGTTATACCGAATCTCTTACTTGTTTGTTACCCTATAACTCGTGTTTTTACCATGAAGCAAGTGTGTTTGCTTGATTGTATTTCGGTTTAAAGGGTGGGGCAGGACAGTATACAAAGGCATGACACCTTAGTCCTCAGAAATGACGACGCATAGGGGCATTATGGTAAAACAGTATACTCTGTTATGTCCATGGTACTGTTTCTATCTATTACCGCTTTCCATCAATTGGGCTGTCAGCTTGTTTGCCATTCTAAGTTGCATAAAAAAACAGTTTTTGATTATTGCAGTATTGCATTTGTGTTCGGAAACATGAAAAATATATGCTTTCTATCTTGGGGGGAATTACTCATAATTGACTCTTATAGAGACTGACAGAGTAGTAGTAGTAGTACCCAAAGAATAAACTGCCCAACACACACACATCAAATATACTCGAACTGAAAAACATTCATGTCAATAAAAAAATAATAGGTATGTATTTGATAATTCTCGAAATCCAAAAATAAATATTCTATAATACTGATTTTTTTTATTTTGAAATTAATCAGAAATGATACTCAATATCGAGAAAGACAAAAATATTCTTTTCAAATATAAATAGATATTAACGATATAGGGTAATAATCTCAAATATATTGTTGGGACGCAGAATATTATTTTATGTCATAGAAGAAGTCTTTGTTCAGCTATTTATAATGGATAGGTTGAAATGACAATAATATAATAATTTTAAAAAATTATTAATTATTAATTGATTAAAAATGATATAAATTTATTTTTCTGCTTCTGTGGCTATTCAAAAATTATTTTTAACTTATGTTTTAATTCATGTTCTAAGTTATTATATCTGCATATGAACGGCCTCTTGCTTTGTCAATTTGCTGTTTTGAATTATTAAATGTGACAATTTTCTCTGTCGATTCATATATAAAATATTTGTTACGGTTCTAAATATTATATTCAAATATTCAAGCGTATTTACACATAAAACGTGAAATTGTATTTTCTCTGTTATTTATATTACATCCTGGTACGCATAGTTAATTATAACTAACAACAATCACTTTAAACTAACCTCATTTCAAAATGTACAAATAATTAGAAATAATTTTGTTTATATTCCTGCCAAATCAGGTTTGAACACATAGATTAACATTATTAACTAACATATAGATTATTATATTATCGCTCTTTTACTTTGCTAATTTACATGCCATATTTCATAATCTAAGGGTAAGAATAGTCAGTCATTTGACATTTCATTTCATCAGCTGTTATTCCAGACAATTATCATACTGAAAACTAGGCAGCATGGTCTCCGACCTTAGCCTGTTCCATACTTTAACAACAAACGTACTAAAAAAATCATCAACTGTCATTCTTATTTCTGCAATATTCCAATAGTGATATATTTTTTTTATTTTCCATCTAGAATTTTATTCTAAACAAGTCTAAAATTTATAATACCTAGCTTAGTAATTACATTTTTGCGCTCGTTATCAGTGACTCAATCTTAATTTGTTTATTTTAAGAGGCGAATTTATTTAATATTTATGTTAAAAAGAAATTGTGAATTGAATGCTAAACAAGTGTATTCTTTTGTAAATTAATATTTCTCATCATCTGATAAGGTGAGTACTTATTTATTATTAATGTGAAAAATAATATTTCGTAATTAGAATCAAATATATGGTAGTAATTTTTATGTACCTTCGTTGAGCCTAATGCACGTTATTTTCATAAAATTCCTCTCGCATTGCATGCAGCGTTACCTAGTACCGAAGATGGATCCTAAACAAGGTTGGTTATACCAACAAAACATATATTGGTAGATCCTGTTTGTGTACATTCATACACCTGACTGAACACATTATTAGACTGTGAGTCTTGCTAAACACAATATTCGTTATTTGAGTCTACTTAGGTATTAATTAAAAATTCATTATATTGAATGTTGAAATTTTTATAACCGATTTATTAGGACACATTTATCATTTAATTATTACGTCTTAATACATATAATGCAATCAGTGATTATTTTGTGTAAAAGTAAATAGAAAAAATATTTTCAAAAGAAAGTACACAACTATAACAATAATGTTAATACTATGCAGCTTACTGATTCAGTCTCTTTAAATTTTCACAGATACTTTTAATGAATCTGTGTCTTCAATATTAGAGAGAAAAGTTAGAGGGTGGCTTAGTGGCGTCATAGACGATATGAGACGTAGTAGCCCAGTTCAGCAATGGTTAGACTCACTTCCAACCGATACCGACGCTGAATCTGAGAAAACCAAAGAAGCAGATAATAAAGAGGCAAAGTCTGATGACAGCAAGCTTGGGGAATCAGTAACTGATGTTACAGTTGTAGAAGTAATCCCAGAGAAGTTGCATGAAGAACAAAATTTAGATGTACCTAGTCCTAGAGATGCATGGAAAAGAAAGTCATTAGAAAGTGGAGTTCTAATGAGGCAAACTGGAAGTATAAAAAGACTGCAAAGGGATCATTCTGTCCAATCTGAAGGTTGCTCACCAAGACTAAAAAATCCATTATTCAGGGATCATTCCCTTCAGGTAATGTAATTATTACATATCAGGGCACAAATTTAATTTTTATTTGTTTAATACATACTTGCCACATTCTTGCTCTTTTTTACAACCTAAAGGTTGACTAAAAATGCTTGTCATAATAAATAAAAAAATAAATATGTATGAGAGACCATCAACAGTTGTAATTCAGTGAGACATAGATTATAAGTGATAGTCTTAACAAACTTATTACTTCATTTATATAAATATTATAATTTTATAATAAGATTGTAACAAAATATTATATTACTGTTGTTAACAATCATGGCATCTTTTAACTGTCTATTGCTAAACTTAGGCATTTGGTTATATTTTAAGGGGGATACTGCTGCCCATCTTACAAACATTAAGTTCCCTTAGTTGGCTCTTATGGTACCCATGGGAAAGGGAGTTGTCAACAATGGATTAGTATTTTTTAAACTTTTGAATGAAGTGCATATTTTATATGGTTTGTTAGTCAACTACACAAGGTTAATAAAAATAATTTAACATGATATTGATGTAATCAAGTCTGCTCATGACTGTGCAATCTCATTGAAAATTAAGTAAAGTAAATTATTTATCATTCAATAATTTGTATTAAGATCCAACAGCTCATATTACATTGTTTACAGTGTTATATTATAGTGAAACTTTATTATTTTACAGTCTGATGCTAGTGGCTCAAGTAGTAGTTCAGTTTTAAACGTATTGGGTGCAAGGAAAGTAGACGCTGAATCTGTCCTACTGGCTTTAGGTTTTGGCCCTAGTGAAAAGCAGCAAAAATTACAGAGAATACCTGACAGATTTTTAGCACCTTCTAAGGTTAGTAATTATTATTATTATATCAGCTTTTAATTGTCCACTGCTAAACATAGGCCTCACTCATAAGGGGGTTAGTAAGTTATCCATAAATATAATGCAAAAATTGTATTTATAGAATTCCAAGGTATTATGATTTCATTACAGTAATAATAATAATTCTAATTTGATAAATAGTCAACAATATATCTTTGATTAATTATTTTTATTTAATATAAGTTTATTTTGTATTAGTTACTTTTTTTGAGATTTGTCGATTTTGTGACATTTTTTTTTTATATATGAATGATTATGGTGTAAACTTGTCACTTTGTAATGTATATATAATAATATAATTTCATTTATTCACATTATTTTCAAAACAGTAACTAGAAAAAAAAATTCTCTGTTTGTAATTGTTTCTGTGCCCTTTTCCCTCCTACACATTATTATAATCATTTACTTGCACAAATAAAGATAAACATTTAATTGCACAACTCATCCATAGTCTTGATTTCCTTTTGAGAATATTTAACTTATGTTTGTGGTAAAAACTTGATTGCTTAATGTTAAAGATTTTAACAATTTGTTGCTGCTATATTTTTTATTGTTGATAAATCATTTAAGCAAAATACCAAAGATTTCCAGTTTAATGAAATAGTAACTATTTATTACCTTTCTATTCTTTTGGAAGTCCAAAAAAATGCATTTAACTGGATTTTTACCTAATTTCACATTTAATTCATCATTGATTTTATATATTTCAGCTCAAAGGTATAAGTACAGAGCAGTTCATTAGAAATGAACAACATTCTATGAGAATGCATGATTGTGGAGTTTTTGGATATAGAGGTCTAACAGGTATGTGCACTCAACTTTATACATGTTTTTGTTGAATAATCTAATCGATTCATACTAATATTAAGGTTATAAAGTTTTGCATTTGCAGCTATTAGTATATACTAAAACCTAACATCATATATAGGTATTTAAGATAAACAACAATATTTAAAGACAACATATTTATGTACTTTTTTATATATTAATAACATTGTAATGGTACACAAAATATTTTTGTTTTAATGATCATTATTTTAGTGTTTCTTCTTATCCTATATTGAAAGATTTACATCCTAGATGAAAGTTGAACATAGGTTCATTTTAAAATAATTTTCCTTCGCTGAATACAATACTTTGTTAATTACTTTTTTTTTCCTACAAATTAAGTAATAAATTATGTAATATTATTTAAAATACTTGCGCTTTGTTTAACTGTCTTCATTAAAATGTTGTTATTATTTATACATGTTATAGGGGTTGAAATTAAATTAGTTTTACTTCACACTTACACTTACAGCATTTTATATTAAGTAGTTATTTAAATTTTTATGTAGAAATCAAAATTGTTTCATGTATTGTCGTTTTTACAATGGCCGACAGATAGCTTGGTGTCTTTGTGAAACCGATAATGGAATGGTAACTCCGCCTAAGCTAATGGTATACCTTGCCGGGCATCAGTGGGAGATGGTAGGTGAGAATGAAAGGGCAGGTCAGTTAGCCCATTATGGTGACATCTTAGAATTCAGCTCGAGAGTTTTCAGGAGGGACTACGTGAGGGTCGATCTGGCAGAGTATATTGCTAGCAATAGGTATGGTAGTCCGCATTAGTAACAATAACCCACTTGGGGACATATATATCATCTCGTAAAAGTTCTCTTTCTAAACAGCTAGATTATTGTATCATTTTCGAGAAACGCTTGTGTATTATGTATGTGCTTATAAATTGTAATGTATGTGGGCGTTTAACAACCTGGTGCATTTAAAGTAACAAGTCGTATTAACCTTGAGGCCTTGACTGACCATGTGATCTATTCTCTGTTGTTGCGTATTATCACAATATAATCAGTGTCCTTATTTTGTCGTGACTGCTTGTTAAAGTTTCATTTTATTAAGGTGACCTTCCTACTTGGTAGAAATCTTATTACCTATTTCCGAGATAAATTACCTCTTTAGTTATTCTTACAGACATAATATTAATAATATATAATAATAAAGTTTTAAATTTTCAAAATTAATTTTGTATTGAATTTTGGTTAATATTATGATACTTTTGTAGTTTTAATTAATTAATTAGTATTCATTTAATCATGTTTTTAGTCTAGACCAATTTCATGATACCTAAACTATTAAAATTCATCTGGCATGGATGATATACAGAAAAAATAAGGCGCCCATTAGACGACCGCTTAGTAATATCAGTCACGAACAAGTTGAATCAATCATCATCTAAAATGTTTTTACGATATGACTGTAACATTAGTGTGTTATGCCCATTTGTTGCATTGTTTTGATTATTTTGGTATATATATCCAGTCATTTTTATAATAAATCTGAGGTCAAATATTATCTTATTTAAAGGTATTAACTATGTAGTATAGATATGGTAACTATCGTAAAAAATATTCATATAGTTTCATAATTTGTTGGCAATGAAAAACCATTTTGTGGTATGTTGCTGTAGTCATATTGGGATTTTCACTGGTGGTAAAGCTTACTTAAAAGTGTTTATAACTTTGTCTTACCGGAATGCGATAACGTTTCAATTATCTGTCAATTTTTGAAAATAATTGTACAATTTTCAATGTTTCTGACTGATTATATAAAAAAATGCTCTATTAGCGAACTGAAACCTAGAATAAAACATATAATCTACCATTAAAAACATTGCACGTACTTCATGTTTTGTTTTGGGATTTTTCAATGAATTTTTGCTATTAATATCTAAATTTTTGCTTTCAGATTAATAAGAATTTTATTGTATGATTTTAGTTATGAACGCTCTTAAGTTTAAGTAGGTATAAAAAATAGTCGTCAAATATAACCATGCATAACTAACCCATCGTTAAGATTAGTTACTTGTAATTAAAATACGAAAGCTACATTGGTATATTTTAATTAACCAATTCATTTTGTTTGAATTTAACTAACAAATTAATAAATAACTCACTAACAGAACACTGCACTCCTGTATGCCGATTTATGAAACCTATTCCATCAGGCTTTCCTAGATCAGTACCACAAATTGCTGTTCAGTAAGTATTTATTACTAACATTTATTATTAATGTATGTGACTAGTTAAACTTATCGGGATAAAATATGTTTCGTGATTGTTTTACATTTGCAAAAGCGTTCAAACATACCCAATATAAAAAAAAAAAAAAAAAAAAACTATTTAATTGAACAAAAATTATAGAGATCATCCTAAAAAGGAATTATTTTAGTTAAATATACGTAATTGTAAACTTATTAAACAATTATTAATGGTAACAGATTAAAATAAAATCGAGTTGAAAATTTTCTTTTTAACCTGTTCTTACTTTAATAAAGCTACAATTATTTATACCTGTGTAATAAATATATTACAGGGAATCCTCATGTACAGCCGTCAACAATTGTAGCTAAAATAATGGAATGTATATTACATGATGACGTGGTACGCGAGCAGGCGTTGATGAAGGCGCGACACTCCATAGCGGACATGCGCAGTGCGCCTGATTTATATGCTCTACAATTACTTCAAGCGTCGCGTTTGCGACATAACTGAATTGCAATAGCAAACGTCAATATCATGGCCAAAGATAATTTGCTACGGCTTTATTTATTTTATTTTTTTGCCATAGTATAATTATTTGTGTACAGATGTTATTGTTATAATGGATCCGATTTATATATTCAAGACATTTCATTCATTCCTTAGGGAGGGTATAATTTTTGAATGATTGGGATTGATTCTGAGGCGCCATTTGTCTAAATTTGTTTCTTAAATTATTATTTTAAATTGATTGTTTCACAAAAGTACTTACTATTTTATGCACTATCATAAACTAAATTTATAATAATTTTGACTTACATCTTTTAGAATATTAGTTCATATTATCTTACAATAAAGATTTCGCTGTGATAATGAATTGAAATTTTAATTTTAGATTTTATAGGTTTAGAAAAATGCCATCTTCGAATCTGCCCCATTGTTGTGCCCCAACTCTTTCATGAATTAAATGATTGAGCAACTGCATGAGGTGAATGGGCCTGTGGCAACTATCTCTGCTAATTGTTTATGTATCCTAAAGAGGATTAACGTTTTGTGCAATAAAATATTTATTTAATGTAATATAATATTGTACTAACCAAAACATTTGTGCAATAATAAAATCCTAAATACTTAGTTATAGCTGAAACGTTATATTTTATTAGTCACAGTTATGACCTCTGCATATGACTATATCGATTTATATAATGAGACGGAATTCAACGTAATTAAAATTATCACATATGTTATAATATTATTACAACAATAAGTTGTGTTAAAAAAGTTATGAAAAATTATAGTTAATTGCAGATCTATCGTTTACTTATGACGCCTATTAACACATACTATGTTTCATTAATTAGTATTAACAGAATAGAACATAAACGCTCCAGTAATGATCCGGTAAACATGGTAAATGAAGGACGAGACATTCTTCATTTTATTACGATGTAAGCGTTATTTTCATTAGAATCTACCGAAATATTTAATGTAGTTAAATGCGTTAAATATTTATAATATCGTTCGTATAATTATATATATATATATATAATTATCGTTAAATATATATATATATATATATATATATATATATATATATATATATATAATTAATAATTATCGGTATCGATAGTAGAAGAGAATAATTAATATTTTGTTTAATCCACTTTTGTTAATCCTTAATAAATTAATAATTATCATTACATATAGAAAAAGGTCATATTAATACATTACTCTGCAATCTACAAATAAAACAATTCACGGTCGAGTAAGTCGTGCTCTTTTTAATTACGGGACGCTGTTAATTGCTGTATCCGTAGAAAATTGTAGGTACGTACTTTTTTCCAATTTGCGTAAAAAATAAACTAATTCAAGGAATATTAAAATTCAATTCTTATTAAAACTTATAGTTTGTTTAGTTACACACATTTTTTTTATATAAAGTGCATTCAGCCTTTTTTAAATAATTTATATTTTTTTTTAATATATAATACAATTTTAAATTATATTATTCCTCTTAATATAATTTTGTACTTCATCAACGTTAGTGTCAGTTCCTAAAATCCATACAAGTTGTAACGGAAAAAAACCTGTGTTCCTTTGACCTAGATTAATTGAATGAAAAGGTACGCATCTAGTGAGAATAATATCACTATTAAGTTTGTGAATACTACGGTTCAGTTACGAATCATTATAACTTTCCGTTACATACTATAATATATAATGCACCCTTGACTTTTTAAATATAACTTAATAATAATAAGTGATATTATATTACGTGGTAGACATTCGTTTTTAAATATATGAAATACCAAAAGACAAAATTAATGAGATATCCTGTGATGAGAATAAGTGTAAACCGCATAGGTAGTTTAGAAATTGAATAGAGCGGATTTTGATATAGGTAATATTATCTTTAGAGAGTTCCATAGTGCATCTAAACTTTCACTCAAGTATATTAGTGTATATATGTGACTATTATGGGTATCTTCTACAAACACTTTCAAGAGCTTAAAACAAAAATTTTACAATAAAACTACTATATTAATGGAACCAAAATTGACTGATTCCACTTTGCCTTGTACTTACGAACCATTGTAATTATTTAATGTGTAATTCAAATGAAGACATATATTAGAACTATCTTTATTAAATTATTAACTAACTTCAAAACTTGCCTCAATTCTAAGAATAGAAATTATTATTTATCTAGATTTGTGTGGAATGACTGTAAATAGATCTATATGAATGTTTTATTTAGTTTCTTTTTTCTAATTATTAAATATTTATGTTATCGAATAGATTTTAAGTACTATAAAGTAGTTTAAATTGTTATTTTTTTTAAGTAACATATAATGAAATGATAATTTAATAAACACTGAAGAAGAAAGAATACATAATATATAAGCATTTTATATTTATTGTTTTAAAAAGATATTTTTGGCTGTGTCCATGCTTCTCCAATTTTCTAATTTCTTTAGAATTTTCATAAATTGTTGTTATTGTGATTTACAAATTTATTTATTAAATAATAGAGAATTTTAAATTAGATTTTACTCTCTTAATCTTTCGCTTCTAAAGTCTAGAGTAAAATTATGCTAATATGTCATGTATGACTTTAGTCAACATTTTTAGTAGATACCTATCGCATTCCGTCTTTTACATCCTCATTGGTAAAAAGATTAAACGTCTGGTAAACTATATTTTGTTTTTTTTTTTTTTGTTAATAGGAGAACAAAAAGATCCGTAAGTAGAATTCGAACCACAAATGTCTGATTGATACGTTGTCTCGAGTGATAAATGGACTAGTTTTACAGTCCTGTATAACATTTTGATAGTATAACATGGTATAAGTATGTATATATTTGCCATTTCTGGCACCATATGATAATTTAAAAATCCATCTTGAGTTTCTTCTTGAGATGTTGATGTATCTGCTTGTGAGATCATTGTTTCCTCTACCATTATGGAATGAAACTGTCTACAGATGTTTCTTTATTCTGGTATCTAGCAAAAATCACTACCAATGAAATTGACTTTTCTTTTAATCACAACATCCGTTTTATTTGGATAGTAAATTGTAAAGACTTGTTGTTTCATCATAACCCACAACATAATCTGTATCTGACTTATCATCTCACTTTTACGCTTTTGAATAGGGACGTGGGTCGCTATTTTGATACCAAACATTTGCAAGTTATTTACATCACAAATTCTTTTTAAACCATAGTTCATAACCGGTTCGACTTTTATTCTACTCTTATCAATTCTGTTTAATACATACGCTGCTTTGGGCTTCAAAAAAGCTTTTTTTTATATGATTTACTTTTAAGACATGATATACATGTCAAATCATCATTATTATTTAACTTAAACATAATGGTATTCCTGGTGATAAGTTTTTTTAATGCCACTCAGATAAACTGTTGACCGATTTACCAACACACACATATTCGTGTGGTTGCCTCATGAATTTCATAATAATTATTTTTATGATTTGCCAATGCACTTATAGAGTTATAATTAATTTTCATAAAACACAACTATTCTTGTTTATTACTACGTTGTGCCATGTATCTAAAACATTAAATAAGGACCCCACCAAATTTCGTGTAACGTCCATATTGTAAACGCACTCTTTCAGTGTTTGAGGATCATTTTACGGTCTCGGTATGCACCTTTTCTCTTACCAGCTTTGTAGCGTCTAGTCCGCCTTTTTGCCACTTGACCACAGCGATCGCAACAAATATATGCCGTGAGTAATTAATTGCGAACTCTGGGCCCATAATCTAAATGAATAAAATAAATGGACTATTTTATTTTTCTTTATGACAGGTTATAATACAAAGATCATGTATATTAACAATGGGCAAATAAGTACTGTTCAAGTACTGCAACTTATTAATAAAAGGTATATTAGATTATTAAATAAAAATTATATTATTAAATTGATACAGTCTAGTACAATTGCAAGTAGAAATTTTAAGAGTCAAATGTATATTCTTGTCAAATATAAAAAAGTTCTAATACCGAGTGTGCATAAAGAGCATTCAACAAAATTATATCCAACAAATAAAAGAAAACGTTACCCAGTTGTAGGCAATTATAATTTGAAACACTAAAATTAGTTCAAGCTTTAGCTGACGGACAAGGAATGTGGCTCGGATTCTACTAATAGATGTTTATTTATAACAGGTTATAACTTATAGTTTTTGTAATGAAAATGTTCATTCGATAATTACATATAAACTTAACTACGCTTGTTTTTTTAATATTTTAACCGCTAAATAGTTAATTGAGTATTAGGGATTTTGATATTTTTTGACTTGTGTGCCTTATTTAAGTAGGTACGGAAATATAATGTTTTATCAAAATATCATATCAGTCAAATCGTATATTAGAAAATTCACACCTACGTCTAGTATTTTTTTTTTTTATATATTGAAAAGAAATTTAATAGTATTTAACTATTTATTGTATCGACAATATACTGCAATACATATTGTAAGGTTGTTCAGTATTGGAAACTATCTATTTGTAATTTATTATAAAGATTGAATACTTAAATTTATATTTTTTTTTTTAATCTTTTTGATGTTTATAAAAAGTGATTTTTCGTTATTTCCCTACGGGTTAAAAGTTTATGAAGGAAAATCAAAATCTGTAAAATTTATAACATTTTTCTTGCAAGATCAACTCTTATGGGTCTTGCTGAAATAATATCACAGCTTCTATAAGTTATTTCTACTATTATTAAATGGAATGTTCGTTTGTAGTTGTATCTGACCTTTACCTAAAAAAGTAAGTAATAAAGGTTATATTTCATATGGAACTGGAAGATAACTTTCTTATTATTCTGGAAGTATTAGTTTTGTAGCAGATCAATCATTATTCTTTTATTTAAATTATTTATAATAGATACTAAATTATATATTTTTTACTCTGTAGATCTGTTATCGACTCTGAATGATATCTATGTTCTTTAAAAGTGTCAAATGTTTATCATAATTGGATAAACCTTAGTCAAACAGAATGGTAACTTAAAAAATATTTTAGTCGACAATTGTGCAAGTTATTATCTTCTTAATTGCAATTGTGTAATTAAGAAGATAGCAATCGAAATTCAATTTAATTAAAGCAAATACTTAATATATTTTAATAGGAAGAGAAATAAAAAGTTATGTATGTAGTAATGTAACAGAACGCTTAAAGAATGTATTATTTTAGTACACATGCCTCCTAAATTATATTAGTTAATTGGATTGTTGTTACATATAATTTGTATTTTTAATGTGATTATGTCGCAGTAATGTGAATATTTAGTTAGGTAATTTGCTCATTTTTCATATTACTTAATTTTTAATTAATAATATTTAATTTAGAAATGTAATTAGATATTTTATGGGATCAATTAATGTGGCAATTATAAATAAATCCTTTTTTTCTCAATAATCTTGTTTTATTTTTCTAGTTATATTAGGTTTTATAACACAAAATTACCTAATAATAGATATTTTCGTCATAAACTTTGTAAACATATTCAGTAATAAGTCAATTTGTTAAACCAGCCTCCAAACATCTTCCTTCTGATACAGTATTTTCTTAATTCATCAAATATAAACATTAATACTGAAAATGGTAGAGCTAAAAACCACCTGAAAAGTTGCTTTAAAATGTAAGAAAATATGACTCGAATATTATTTTAAATCATCAAATTAACTTCCTTCGTTGACACTTACCAACGCCATCGCAAAGGGTAGGTACGGAAAAAATTGTTGACACCTGGTATATAACATATCATACAAGATAATGCAAATTCAAACAACAAACCGAAGTTTAGCACTTTATTCCGCATACCTGGAAAATATCATGCCCTTTAAAATATTGGCAACACCTAATATAAATTTGTATCCAGGTACAATCGGGCACCGGTCGGCGCATTCCGTCTTATCATTTTTATTTTTATTCTTATTTATAAAATTATATTTCATTTTTATATATAAACATATAAATTATTATAGAAGAATAGTGTTATGAAACTTATAATATTTATTATACTTAGCTACCAAATAAGCTAAATCTGCTACTAATATAATCTTTTAATGAAAGGGCATTAAAAACTTGATTAAAGTATCATTACGATTTAACGATGCATATTGAAATCATTCCTTGCTGTCTATTTACGCTAAATTTATATAATAAACAAATAAATCGTATCTTTTTTATAAATCTTACTAATATTATAAATGTGAAAGTGAGTTTGTTTGTTAATTGTTAGCGCTTTAACGGTTTAACCAATCACTGGGTGGGAAGGGTTCATTAGTAATGAGGATCTGACAACCCCATTACTAGCTATATACCCTATCAGGTTGACCTCCACGTGATTCCCCTGGAAAACATCTTGGTTATTCTTTTTGAATTTGTCACGATGGGCCAACTGACCTACTTTCATCTTCACCTATCATAACTCACTGGTGCTTCGCCAGCGTATCCCCGTAGCGTAGACGGTGTTACCATTCCATTATCGCCCATTGAAAAAAAAACCAATCACTGTGAAATTTGGTATACATGTGAAGAAGACTATAGGCTAGTTTTTATTCCAGTTAGTGAATGTATCCCAGTCACGCGGTCGAAGTCACGGCTAAAAGGGAGGAAGAAGAGTCTGAGACTAGCGTGAGTGTATGAGACGAGTTATGAAAGTAGATGACTAAGTTTGATTAGATGCTCTACCTATACACAATGTAATTAAGCCTACTTTACCGTACCTCCTCATATGAGGAAAGTACGAGTTTACTACTACCAAGCTGATCAAGCGTCTTGGTGTGCTTACTTTTTTCAACCGACTTCAAAAAGAAGGAGGTTCTCAATCGGCTGTATTTTTTTTATGTTTATTACCCTATAGCTCCATCGCTTATAAACCGATTTGGAAAATTCTTTTTTATCTGAATGGAAAAAATCAAAATAAATGGCTTTGCCACAATTGAAGTCGGTTTTTTTTTTGTGGAATACCATCGTAATTTACTATTATTTCTTTCAGGGCAGTTTTGTAAAGAAGTGTTAAACTTATTTTTTGTATATCAGTGGTAGGTATACAAGATATTTTTGTCTCTCACCAATGTGGAACAGTGAATTGTATCTAGTCTTGCAAATAATTCCGTTTGTAATCTGCATGACGACTACTGCTACGAAGTATGTGGCTTGACATGCCCGCTCCAATTCCTTACGCTCAGCATAAGTCCATTCCTGGCCTAATGAGTCGCGAACATCGTTAATTGCTTCATTGTCCCAGTATCGTCTTATACCTTTCAGAAATAGCGTTATAATTATCTCACGTTTCACATATTTGAAAATTAAGTAATAGGAAACATCTGTATTATGTCTCATCCCGGACATTTTATACAAAAACGCCATACTGTACTTTAATACTATTATTTATATGTATCTTAATATTTTTCGAATAAAGCAGTTTTTATATGCAACTTGGCATGACAAACAAGCTGACGGCCCACTTGATGGTAGCGGTAAAGTGTTAACCGTCACCAATAGACATGAACAATACCATGGACAACAGAGTACACTCTTCTTCATGCATTGCTATTCCTGAGTACTAAGGAATAAGGAATGTTAAACAGTACAATTTTGGATACAAAATACGTCAAATGAATATATCTATAATTATTCAAAACTCATTTACCGAACAATTCGGCAGGATAAAACCCATGTTCAGCCATAACAATGAAATAAGCAAACATGCCAGCAGTGAATTCGATTAAGCCGAGATGTCCGTACACAAGTGTTAACATGCGGGATGATACAAGCGGATCAGAGGTGCGAGGCGGCCGCGCCATCACGTCTGACTCGGCAGGTTCATGCGCTAGAGACACAGCTGGCCACATATCCGTGCCGAGGTCCACGCAAAGTATAGTCATGACTCCTGGTTTCAAAAATAAGTTTACATTTTAAAACGAGTTTTGCTCTCTATAATATGACAAGTGGTATTATTTGAGATAATTACTGCAGTTTACCGAAGTGTGACAAGTGGCAATGTTGGAATTGTCATGCAAAAAAATTAACTACTTTTAATAGTTCTGGTCGATTGTTTAAAAACTACCTACTCTGATAGTGAACTAAAATATTATTCATGTAATAAGATTCTTATTAAGCTGCAACTGAAACTTTTGTTGTGGTTTGAAAAACTATTTAAAAACTTCCGAAGCGAAATATGAAGTACGTGCAAAATTGTTTTGTGGTAGATGTGTGTGCTATTATTCATTTATATTAATGCATTTATTGTATAGTTAACGTTTTAGTTTCAGAAATATTGAAAATCGTACAATTAATTGATAGAAAATTGCGACTTTTCCACACTTTAGTATCCTTCGGCATTTACGAGTTTAGCTCTTAACTGGCGAGTATGCTATAAGGCAGCAACGTCCAGTGTTCTGAGATAATATGATTATTGTTATGCTTATTTCGTTGTACAGTAGGTATATTAACGAAATTCATTCCTTAAAACTAGTGTTATTATTCATTAATAGGGTCTGAAAAAATATAATATAATATTAATATTATATTCTTTTTGAGATTCTGTTTTTAGTATTTGTTTATAGACAAGAAATGTTTATTTGTAGATATATATTATTTGCTAGTATTTGTTTATATACAAGAGGCATTTAATTTGAATTGACAGTTTATTATAATATTTGAATAGGATTGTTATATCAGCAAGATAAAAAAATCTCTAAAAAACAAGATAAAATACGAACTTTTAAATGTTCTAATAACAATTATACGTCTATGTACTTTTTACTAACCCAACGGTAATGGTACAGAAAACAGAATAAACACTAAGACAGGTAAAATTTCTGGAACATTCGATATTAAAATGTAGCAAACAGATTTCTTTAAATTATCAAATATTTTTCTTCCTTCTTCTATTCCCGTAACAATAGTGGCAAAGTTGTCATCCATTAAAATAATATCCGCTGTCTGTTTGGATACCTGTATCAAATAGAGAAAAGTCTTATAATAAACTACATTTTTATGCAATTTAACATAACTAACTGCCCAAATGGGAAATGATAACCATCGCTTATAAACATGCAACACCATAAAAACTGCAGGACATACTATGATAACCATGATATTCTTTACACGTTATCATTTCTGAGAAAGCTGAAATAGATGAGTTATGTTCGCGTACTTTGTAATTTCACTGCCTTACCCACTCTTCAAACTGAAATATAGCCATGTAAGTACAGTTTTTTTATGGCAGAAACACAAGAACAGTGGTACAAAGACCACTTCGCAGTCTTTTTGTGGTATAGTAAGAGGAAAAAAGTACTATTTATATAGGTAACAGGCTCTGCTTACCTGTGAACCTGTAATTCCCATTGAAATACCAATGTCAGCCCGACGCAGCGCAGGCGCATCGTTGACACCGTCTCCTGTGACCGCCACCACGCCGCCGCTTCGTTGGCACGCCTCCACTATCTGAAGTTTTCTGCGTTGGAGATGTTCTTGCAAATACTGGATAAAATATAAATAACATTTATAATTATACAGAGATGTTATAGAGCAACCGGATCAGGGTCATCGCTTTCATTTCATTTTTGGTAGCGTTTCTTACTACTCGCCTTGTTAAGTAGTCACTAGACGCGATCAAATATAGATCTGCCGTAAACCAGTGCGATGTACATTATTGTTTCGGTCTAAAAAATAAAATAGCTAATATAATCTCTGATACATAAAGATTAGCGCCAAGATTCAAGACACTAGCAACGCATGAGCTGCACAGTACATATTGTAATATATTATTTTATATATAATGATTACCACTTTCTATCGAGTCATCAGTTTGTTTGCTAATCAATTGTATCTATACAAAATCTTTGATAAAACATATACCTACTTGTAACTTACATTTCCTATATAAGTTATTTTTTTAATGGGTGATAATGAAAGAGTAACCCAACCTGCGCTATCGGTATACGCTGGCGGGGCACCAGTGAGGGATGATATGTGACGATGAAAGCAAGTTAGTTAGCCCATCGTGACGAATTCCACTAAAATTAACCACGATGGTTTCCAGGGGGAACCGCGTGGAAGTCGATCTGATAGGGTGTATTGCTAGCAATGGGTTCATTAAACCCCATTACTAACAATCCCTTTTCCCCGTATACAAGTTATGTTAGGAAGGGTAAGGGAAACTGGTAATACTTTCTTGTAAGAACATACCAATTTCATAATGCTTTTCTAATGTCCAATTCAGTAAATCCGGTGTCATATTTCTTAAATCAGATCCAGTGAGAACATGACAGTTTTCAGTAGTGGCAATGCCCACTTCTAGGGCTATAGCGCGAGCGGTGGCTGGATGGTCACCTGTAATCATCATTACGCGAACTCCAGCTTCTCGAACGCGTTCGATTGATCGGCGAACCTATAGAAAACAGCAATTCTATATATAAAATTTATAATCAATATATCAGTCGGTAATTATCCACTACTAAACATAGGCCTCCAGTTAATTTAGTTTTGCTAACAGTCACACTTGGCAAGCAGGTTTGGAACCGCAGTTAAGCTTTGGTGATATATTTTTTTAATTGATGATAATGGAATGGTTACGCCTACACTAACGGTATCACTGGCGGGGCACCAGTGAGGGGTGATAGGTGAGGATGAAAAAGCAGGTCAGATAGCCCATTTGTTGCGGAGGTGTAGTGCTTTTTTATTCCGGTTAAGAGGGTATATATGACATATATATAAAATAAACAGTATCTATGTTGTTATTATGTATGTAATTATGAATTGAATTGGATGCGGTTTTACAGTTGTATTCCTGAAGGTAAAACTTAGTAATACCGAAGTCTCACTAATTGCTTCAGTCCTTGCTATATGCGTGCCAGTCTATTTAGATATACACAGTAATAATAACGATTAATCTAGGTATTGTACCTCTTTCCTGGGTGGATCCATCAATCCCATTATGCCAAGCAAACGTAATTTTTCTAATGGGAAATTTAGATTGTCTGTATCGAAGTTGTAATTTAAAGGATATTTAGCTGGATCTAAAATTAAATCTGCGAATGCCAATATTCTTTCACCTACGAAAAAAATATACATAAATAATTTAGACAGAAAGGGCATACGAGTATCAGATTTGGAATCTAACAATGCATAATATTAACCAGTTTACTTAAAAACTTTAAGCATCTTTCAAGCGGAGCTCCTGAACTTTTAGTGGTTATGCGATTACGTCACCATTTCTTAACTGAGTTTGATGATTTGTTTCGTATTCGATATTTACTCCCACGTTAGTTCGATATCAATTTTGTGACGAAGACAATCTCTTAGATTGTTGTAAAGCAAAAATACTTGTAGACACGCAAATTTGTGTTTTCCATTTAAATATTTAATGTCGCTCTCTCAATAGTATCTACTTTTTGTATAATTTAAGATTCCGTTCCATAAAAAAACCTACTTTTTTTTTTTTTTTTAACAGGGGGCAAACGAGCATGCGGCTCACCTGATGGTAAGTGACTACCGCCGCCCATAATCACCCACAACACCTACGGCATTGAGGTGTTGGGAATATGAAGGTTAATAAAACTGGAAGTTGATTCCAAAGAGTGGTTGTACTTGAATTGGGGTAAATAAAACTTGAGACAAAACTGGAGGTAAATCCTATCTATTATAAAAAAAAATATATATTAAAATCGATGTAGAATTAGCAAAGATGTTACAAACGAAAAAAAAGAGTGAAATTGATAATCTCCCTTGTTTTGAAGTCGGTTGAAATTATTTTTAATACATGTAAGTATTAAAAAAAAACCCTGTTATATATATGTTATTTACCTGTATTAGCTAAATTATCGCATGCTGTGTCAGCTGCTTTTCTAATTTCGGTAGTCAGACTTGCATCCTTTTTTTCCAATGCAATTGTAGTACATCGGGTTAAAATACATTCAGGCGCACCTTTCATCACAACTAGATAAGTAGATGTGACACTATTTAGATGAACGCTAACCTGGCAGACGAGGATGTGTATTATTTTTTATGGAGGGACATGACCATCGACAAGGAATTCATCCTCACACGCTTGAACCATTTAGGTCACGTACAGTGCGGTTCCAGAGAAATTTTCTTCCACGAACGCTAAAGCTGTGAAAAAGCTTGCCGAGGTTTCCCCTAGAAACTACAGTATTCTGAGGTTTTTCAAAAATATTAAGGTATATTAAGGTTTCTTTAGGGTCGGCAACGCGCACGTGACACCCCTAGTATTGCAAGCGTACATAGGCTACAGTGATCGTTTCCATCAGACGGGCTGTATGCTTGTTTGTCACCTTTGTGGTATAAAAAAATGAAGGAAGACTCGTACAAGCGTATATATCGCTTGTACAAATTCTCAATTTTTTTATAGCAATTATAGTTTCTAGATATAGGTTCTGATGGGTTTGGGACTAGATGGGGTTATGATTATTATTTTTTACCTGATATTTATTGACAGAGTTGAAAGGTATTTCTGCAACTTTAGGAAGTATCTTTCTAATGGACTTGAGGTCATCGTATTTGCCAAAAAAGTTTAAAATTGCTGTTTCGGATGCATCACCATGTATTTCTCCTGTAGTATTTATAGTTGCAGTGCTGCATAACGCGCCACAGTTTTTTAGGTCTCTAAAAGCTGAAAAAACGTATCTTAGATTTCATTAGTTTATTTTTCGTCTGATTATTATTTTCAACCACCTCAAAAAGGTTCTTAATTCGGTTAATTTTTTTTTTATGTTTATTTTATGTAATAAATCCATCAGTTATAACTCTATTTGGAAAATTCTTTTTTATCTGAAAGAGTATACATACATAGATTCGTTTCGCAGAAATTTTATCAAAATTGGTTTTATCGTTCAGTTCTTAAATCAAAATAAAAGTTTATAACACAATTAAAGTCGGTTTTTTTTAAACAATATTATTCATAAATTTTACTGAAATTACTCTAATGGTTTTAAAGTGAATTGCAGCAATTTTATAAAAACTTACCTAGATTGTGTTGTATTAAACCTGAAATTATACAAATAATATAAACATACGAAAAAAGAAAAATACATTAGACTAAATAATCTACTCAACTCTTAAATAGGTTCTTCAATTTTGTTAAATATATGCCCATGTATTATAAAATCTTTATTGTACATAATTCACATTAGGTATATTAAGATATTTAATAAGATTAAAGTAGGTAAATAAGATTTTCGAATATAGTGGTCCTATATAATAAGTCTAGAGTACCGGTTACCCTCCCACGAGATAGAGCGACGACATTAAATGTGTTTTTTTTCACAAAGTTTTGTAAACTGATGTAAATGTGTATCAAAAAGTCAACGTACTAGTATACATATGGCTTAAGTAATATTACAAAGAATTAGTCAATGTAAATTGGTCTTATTTCAACAATTTCTTATTTACATAATGCATATAGATATATAGTTATGTCTATATCTCAAGGTGCTGATAAATTTAGAAATATAACTACTAAATGTGGTGATAAGATTTAATACGAATATATACAATTTAATTTTTTTTGTAAATAAATAAATACGAATTACGTACTATTAAACTCTGGCTCCATAACGAAATAACTGGCATTAGCCATCCATATATGTTGTACACACATTTTGTTCTCAGTTAATGTTCCAGTTTTATCTGAACAAATAGTGGTACACGCACCAAGAGCTTCTATTGCCTCTAAATTCTTAACAAGACAATTTTTCTTAATCATATGTTGTGCTGTTAAGGTTAAAGCAGCAGTAATTGTTGGTTGGAGGCCTACAATAATGTAAAATGTATAGTAATTTAAAAGTTTTTCTTCCATTTCCATTAAAAAAAAAATATTATTTCTTAGAGTTAAGAATATATTGGAGCCACCAACTTACCTTCAGGTACGTTGGCAACAATAATACCAATAACAAAAACTGTGGTCTGCATAAAGGGATAGCCCAGTACGATAGAGGAACCAGCGATGAACAAGCCAAGTAAAAGAGCCCACGCCGATACGTATCGCATAAAGCGTATGATCTCCCGTGATAGTGGTGATGGTGCCGGCTGCAACCGCGCTGCCAAGCCTGCTACTCGGCCTAGGGCAGTCAAGTCTCCACAACACATCACTACACCTAGACAAATAATATAAATAAGAATTTTTAACTATTTACCAGAGTGCAATAATGGATTGGTAACCATGTCTACACTATTGGTTTATACTTAGTAGCGGATTATATTGAATGATGATACCTGAAAATTAGATCAAGTTAATTGTCCCATTGTTACGAATTTACCAGTAACGTACCACGATTGTTTCCTATTATTGAAAATCTCGCCTACGTTATTGGTTTACAATGACGAAGTATCAACGAGGAATGACTTATGAAGATGAAATCAGGTCAATTATCCCATCTTGATGAATTAACAAGAAATTAAACACGATGATTTCGAAGAGTGGATTCGTGAAATATACCCGTATGTAATCCACTATGTACACATATTTGTACTAATGAATAAATAAATAAAAAGAAATAACCCTTAATATGATTAATGCGTTAGGTATGTGTCATTTTATATAAATTAATATGCACCTACTGTTATATTATTCAATAATTTTTACCTAATGCCCACCCTTCAACACACTGAGTGGAAAAGAAAGCAACATTTGGTGACTCTAGTATGTTTGCTGTGCCTTCGCTGTTGCTACGTGGTACAGCAACACTTTCCCCAGTCAGTGAAGAGTTGTCAACCTGTAGAACAACCGTTAATTAATAGAGTTTAACAACACGCCTTAGAAAAGTAGGTATTTGTGAAAGTGTTTTAACGTTTAGTTGTAGTGCATGTAAACTAGGTTTTCAGTAATAATCTTATTAATAATAGATCAATTTTGATCCTTTTAAGCTAATTAATTACCATCAAACTATAATCTAATTATAATCAAAATAGATACTTAAGTTTATCACGAAGGTATTATTTTATATGGCACTTTACTTTGAATCCTTTGCTGTTTATAATACGTATATCGGCAGGTACAACATCTCCTATTTTCACCTGCACTAAATCACCCTTGACCAGATCATGAACCTGCGTTTCGGAATTGAGCACACCATCTCGTATGCAGTTTGAGTACTGTGGTATCATATTATTGAATGTTTTCATAATCTATAAAATAAAGGTATAGGTATTTTTAGATTTATACGCTAATAGTCTACAAATGCGGGGGAAAGAGATTGTTAATAATGGGGAGGTTAGTCCCTATTGCTATATATATATATCCTATTAGATCGATCTCCATGTAGTTTCCCCCTGGAAACTCTCGTACTAATTCGTTAGGATGAGCTAACTGATCTGCCGTTTCATCCTCACCAATCATTCCTCGTTGGTGCTCCGCCAGTGTATACCGATAGCACAGGCGGGGTTACCATTTCATTATCATCCATTAAATAACAAAAGTCACCTAAAGCACCAAACCGAGGCAACGTATCCAAGATACTAGCAGCATTAATTCTCTGGATTGCTAAACAATTTTTTTTGTAATGTAGCTTTAAGCTCTTGTGTTACAAGTAACCTCAATAAGGCGCGTTGGGATCGTCCGATAAAAAGGTTCGTATCTGAGGCCCATGGGCCCATGGTCTCTGTAGCAAATAATTATTTATCCAACTGATAATGAAAGGGGAATTGTTTTTCGAATACGTACAGCTAAGTAGGTGCTTAAATAAAATATACGTACTTTAGAGCTCTTATAATTCTGATAAAAACTGAAAAGTCCGCAGATGACGTCAACGGCGATAAGTACACATCCCAAGTATAAATTATCAGAACTAGCATTTGGTTTTGTGGAGATTTCAATTAAATATGCAATAAGGCATAATGATGCCCCCAACCAGATCAGAATGGAAAACCCTGAAACGTGTATATTTTACAGCTAAGTTTAATAAATTTTAACTTTTTTTGATAGGAATAATATAGGTAGGTTATAAATATACCTAAAAGAGGAACGGATATTAGGTACTGAATAGTAGTACAGGTGTTCGAGACAATTTTTATCCGTTGTTATTATTCATAGTAGTAGCTGGAGATCTAGTACTTATAGAGATCCGATTGTTTTTCTGTTGGGTAGTAAATTTTTACCTACTGCCTATTAGACAAACACTCGAGAATAGTCATTATCTAATAGAGGTAACAGTAAATTCAAATAATAATAGAGAAGTAGTAAAATGTCTATTTTACACTACAAGAATAATAAACGTATACTTCGCCCGATAGTAAACGATTACATAATAACTTCTAGACACCATTACTTGGTCTGGTCGTGTATGTTACAAGCCTAAGGAAAGCATTTTACATTTTATTTGATGTATTTTATTTTGCTAATTTGAGTTTATTGAGGGAGGTTGCCTTGCCTCGTTCAAGAGTCAAATAAAATCTCATTACCTATGTATCTACCTAATTTCTCATTTTTTTCTACGTGTTATTTACTTTGATTTATTGAATATATTTTTGTTTATTATTATCTTTAGTTATATATATTTATATAAATAATGTTTAGAGTAATATACATTTTATTGGGTTACTTTTATTTACTGTGTCTGATTTGCGCCACTTATCTCTTTCTTCGGACTAACCAACAATTATACATTATTATTTACAGGTTGTCTGTAAGATATTATTTTAGCGATAAGGCCGCTTTTTGTATTTGTACCTATGTTCTATTCCTCGTATACATTTTTTTTTGTGTGCAATAAAGAGTTTATTTTTATTATTAACACTAAACTGGTTCTCCAAATGAGAAGTCAAATGAGATTTCATTTCATTTAAAGATTGGGTCATAATTAAGTATACAAGCTTAGTCGTGAAGGGTATACCAAGCTAAAATCCAGTGACAATTTTAATGAAACTGAACTGATGATCAATTAGCTCAAAATAGTCAACATCTAAAAATACTTTTCATACTAAATTAATCACAAGACCACGTACCTAACTTGTATGAAAATTTCAGAAATTTTTCGACTTCAAATTTGTTCATTGGGTTTCGGCTTGAAATATCCTTACGACTAATCCTGCATAATATAAAATTACCTGTACACAATGACTTAAATAGAACCTTTGGCCATCCATACTGCGTTGCAGGAGTAAGTGTATTAGGACCATAATACTCCAACAGTTCCGCAGCTCGAGTACTAGTCAATCCTTGGACAGGATCAGTCCCAAGTAATACAAAAAGGTCTTCTATAAATAATGAGAATTTTATTTAGATATTTATTTATTTCTTGCAAATAATAAGGGATGTATTTATATATGGTAGATATTTTAAGACCTATACAAAAATCCCGTGTTACGATATGTTCATTCTCGTTAATCTTTGAAATTGCTCAAGCAATTTTAATGAAATTTTGTAAACGTGTAGGTAATCTTTAATCTAACTTAAAAAAAGGTGGATCTGGTAGGCGAAGCAACATTGTGTGCAGGGCCAGATTATTATATAACAATTTTTTGGGATCGAGACGTGCACTGCCTCGGTATAGTCAATTGGTTTTAAATGCGTATCATCCTCATTTATCATCTCTCGCTACTGCCCCGCCAGCATATACCAATAGCGCAGGCGGGTTATTACTATTATTACATTTTCACTCATTAAAACAAAAAAAAAACTTACATTTGAAATTCTAGGAAGTGTTATAGGTGTACTTACTTAATGGTATAAGATGCATGTCAGTTTGTATTTCTTTTTTCAGTACGCTAAGGCGAGTACTACTCAAGTCTCTTGACCTGAGTCTCTTAGGATTATTTGGACGAAAAAGATCCGAAATAGACGATAAACTTGAACTTTTAGAATTCATAATTATAATTATCTTATATTATATTGGTGATTTTATTTATCCTTTAACTGAATTATAAATAAAAGTGAATTAGATATTTAAAATCTAGTAGGTCCGGCACTTTTCTAATTTGAAATGAGAGGTTTTGTGGAATGTAAACAAACTATATTTCATTAATTACCATTTACAAACCATTAAATTACAATTTTATTGACCTACGACGTGACAATACTATCTATTGAAGAATTGAATATGTTCTCATAAATAGGGACTAAACAATTAGTAATATTTTTTTTTGTAGATAATTGATCAGGATTTGACAGCGATTTAATGAGTTGTGATGGACATTTTTTCCTCAAACAATCTAAATCCTAATTTCACTATATAGTGATACCATATCATATACATTGAGAAATTTACTTACCAAGATTATGTAGGTATTTATTTAAGGCCGCATTTATATAATCTCAAATGTAAATATGTACGGGACTATTAAAAGATAAGGTATGTGAACATTTGAACCTTACGCGAATCATTATGGTTAAATTCATATAATCTTCAATTAGAAAATTGAATTAGAATTCATGTAAAAAACATACCTCAGATGTATTATTTTGAAAAATGGTTTTATCAAATAAAAATGTATTAAAAGAGTAGAAGAATACTTAGAATAAATATAGTATTTTCATTTTCATTTTATTTATAAGTAACGCAAAACTTATAGTGTGTCCTATGTATGCCTTCTCAGTATTATATGACATTTATATGTATATTAAAATATTAAAAATTTTCATTCTGATATATCAACAATAATAATATATCAATCAATTTATATTAATCACATGATGAATGGATCTTGTGTGTCACACTCTCAGACTCACAAGATGAGAAGACATGTGACCGAGTAATATAAATATTCAACATGTAAATACTCATAAATATACAACAGGTAAATTATAAAGACAAAACAATGATATTCAGAATAGAACTACTCAAACTATGAATAACACTTATAATTCCCAGTCTTTTCTAAACACCCTAATATAATATGAATAACATCAGTATATAAACAAAAAATTTGCTTTAGTAGGTAGTAATTAGTGTATCGTTATTTAAAAAGTCTGTTATAACTTGCTTTTCTCAGTTTCAAATTTCATTACTTTATTTGTTCTTATCCTAATAATTTCCTCTAATTCTTTATCATTTATCTTTAGCAATTGCTCCTTAATTTGATCTCGTATCAACTTCTTAGTTGCTACAATTGGCATTGTAGGTATTTCTATAATTTCTTTTATTTTGTCCCATGCTTTACTCTGGATTATATCGTCATGTTCATATATAAATATACATATATTACATATATCCATTAAATATATACACTCAAGAGCTTCATATATAATATATGCATTAAATATATTATAGCAGAACAGCAACATTTCCAGAAAAAAATGTGAAGGAAAACGAAGAGAGCCTGAAATAGGTGTCTCTTGTTATATTATTATAATATATATTACAATAAAAATGTTATAATGTTATTATAAATGCAAAATAATCATATATTTCTATATAATATATTTTTAACAAGTAAGTTCATATTTACCTTTCTATCTCCCATTAATCTTGGGAATGTGAATGTAGAACAACCTTCTGCTACAAAGCCCAACTTCGAAAATGGAGTAGAAAAATATGCCTGAAGCAAAAAATTATATTTTTATGTAACAGAATGACAAGCAATTTAATGGCCCACCTGATAGAAAATGTTCTATAGACATGAATTGCATTATGGACATCACAGAATATACCATGATGTCTACAGTATCATGCATCCTCATATATTCCCATTGTTGAGAACTATGCCTTATTTATTGCCTTATTATATGCCTTATTATATAATTCTACCACCATATGAATAAATATGAAGGGTGGGCCCTCCAAACCAAAACACAGTTCTGCAAGCATATGTCTCATGGCAGAAACATGAATATGACAGAGGTGCCTTTGATTGAGCTGATTTTTATACAATCTCACTCTGGTATTAATTATAATATTTTATAATTATTACAAATTTGTTACATATTTATTTCTTATGACATTATAAACTTGAAAACTATTAGCCTGCTGTAAACTTTTACTACTTATTCTTAATTTTCATTCGAATTAGTAGGTATATTACTAGATATAAAATAATTTGATACAATGACATTTACAAACAATAAGTACTAATTACTAAACAATAATAATAATTTCTTTACTTACTTTGTCTGAAGCTAATACTAAGTCACATAATGGTAAACTAGTTACAGCTATTCCAACAGCAGGTCCATTTACTAAAGCAATAAGTAATTTGGGGAATATAATGAAAGCTCTTATAAAATTTCTCAATGCTTTCATAAACTGAAAGTATTCTTCATCAGTTTTTGGAATGAATGTCAAATCATTCCCGCTGCAATAAAAATCTCCAGTTCCAGTAATAACAACAGCATCAATCTCGTCATCTTTTGTGGCTCTATGTAAGATTTCTGCGACTTCTATATACATATTAGTATCCAGAGCATTTTTCTTTTTGGGTTTATTAAAACGAATAACCAAAACAGCACCTTTCTTGTATTGAATAATTGTTTCTATCTTTTCCGTTTTATTCGTCATGTTACTGAGTGAGAAAACGTAAAATAAATATAAATCAATTTAGGCCTTTTTAATGTTCATTGAATATAAAAGATTATTACGTAATCCACAAACAATTATAAAAAAATAATTTTTAAATATTTAGCACTATACACCGGCAACAGGCCTGACCAGCGTTAATAGGCTAGTATTATCTTATGGGAAGAGACTGGCCAGTAATGGGATGTTAATTGACTGGTAATAAGTCTCACGTTTAACAATAAATAGATAATTGTTTACTGTTAAAGTTTGGTTTGGTTAAAGTCCATAATAAAATACATTGTTTTGATTGCTTGAACTCAAAGAGTATATGTATATATATAATCTAAGGAAGAGAGAGCGCACTTCATATAAGCCAGTTTTACCAGAGAGACTATAAAATTCGTTTGCTTGGGTACCTTTGTCCCATTCGTATTTCTACCAAGAAACAGTTATGTTTGTATGACTGTATTTTGGTTTGAAGGGTGGGATGTGGCAGTGAATTTACAGGGTACAGAGGAATAACACCTGAGTCTTCAGGAATGGCAACGGATAGTGGATATCATGGGCGAGACAATATATTCTGTTATGTCCATGGTATTGCTTATGTCTATAGGTAACGGTTAGCACTTTCCATCAGGTGGGCTATCAGCTTGTTTGTCTTTTTAAGTTGTATAAAAAAAGCAACCAAAAACAACTTGGTCAGAAATATTTCAACAAGCTACACAAAAAAATCCTTTTCGCGTTATGTTAGCCAGCTTGATATTCAAAATGGAAACGGATGGGGCTATATGGATACCATATTTAGATAATTTTTCGATATTAGTAAAATGTAAATATTTCTCATTGAAACACGAATAATGTAATAAGAAATATATAAATTTTTTGACAAAAAATATTTTAAAAATATGAAACACAAAACTAAACTGTTCCACGAATAATTTAGATGGCAGTCATTTGCATCATATTTGACATTATTTTTGTTAGTTAAGTTGGCACTATTGTGGTTTGATCATTTAGCTAAACATTGGTATGATCTCTTCTGACCAAATCCAAATAATATATTTATAGTTAGTATTGAGGTTACGCAATAGTGGCTGACTGAACTGGAGTTTCAATTGGCTCATCTTGATCAGTTGTTTCAGTTTTTGTTGTCATTGTTAATCAATGTTGACATTGTCAATAAATGGGTTGACATTGATTGATATGACAAAAACAAAAATGTTGGGAATGTACAATCTTTGGTGAAACCTTAGATTATATAGATAGAGCATCGAATCTCAAAAAACTGGTGGACTTATGTCAAATAACCTAGTTTTTTTTTTTAATCTATGATTACTCTACTAACCAATATCTTTGGACCTTTCGCCATATCAATGTCATTTCAATGTTATAACTGTCAAGTTCATTCATTATATGAGGTCATGAACATTTCAGGAATGAATAATCAATTCTATAGTAAATTTTATTCACTTTATATTTATTTTTATATTTCAGAATTATTATCATTACGCATTTACTGGTAGAATTAACTCTGAATGAAATCAGTTTTGAAGTTGTATTTTAGAAATAAAAAAAATTAAATAAAATTTGTATGTAAAGTAATGTTTAAACCATTATCAACAATACTCAGATGTAATAAGTTATATAATAAGATTTATCTTCCGAATAATGTATTAAAAACAGAACCGGTACGCAATTTTAATACAACTAACAAAATGTTTAAATCTTCGGCTTCTAACCTACAAGAGGTATCAAAAGATCAAGTTCAGGAATTTTTAAATTCCTTCGATACTGTTTTGACTGACTGTGATGGTGAGTGGCAATATGACAAATAGATTTATAGCATTAGAGATTTGAAAATAGTTATTGATAGACTTACTGGTAATTTTATAAGTTATACCATAATGATTGAAATTAGATAATTGTTAATTATATTCCCTAAAAAACTTAGAATTTCTGTATAGATGTAGAGTCTGTCTTCACGCTAGTTTAGCGTCATTATAGAGATCAAGTATCAGTAAATAAGTAATTACATGATTATTAAAATTTATTTTTTATATTTTTTTCAGGTGTTCTTTGGATTGATAATAATGCTATACCTGGCTCAGCAGAGACCATGAATTATTTTCGTAAACTGGGAAAAAGAATATTTTATGTTACCAATAACTCTACAAAAATTCGTAGCGACTTTGCTGTTAAAGCACAACAACTGGGTTTTATTGCATCACAGGTAATTTGTTTATTTAGTTAAATTAATCAAAATAAAAAAAAAACTTTTCTTCATCATCCTATTTTAACATATTGATTTATCCAATGTATTTACTTGTTTTTTTTTTTCATTTACATTTTCCATTTTTTCCTGTTATATTGGCAATGAGTAAAATGATGACAAAAACCATTTGGTTGACTTAAACTCTCACATATGACAACTTATCTGAGAATTTTTTTTATTTCAATATAAATTGTAATAATTATAAATTGTACTTTAAGCAACTGTATCTCACTTGAATTGTCTAATTAACATTGTACATTTTTATGTTTGTTTGTTGGTGCAATAAATTAAAATAGAGACTATATAAAAAAGGCAATTGACAAAAGTATATACTATTTTAAAATAAATAAAATATAAAATTAATATAAAATTAACTCATGTACCATTTTCAGGATGAAATTTTGTCTACAGCTTACTTAGTGGCACATTATCTTAAAGGTATTGGATTTACTAAGAAAGTTTATTTATTGGGTTCCAATGGTATTGGAGAAGAGCTAAAAGCAGTTGGCATTCGTCACATTGGTGTTGGAGTAAGAATATTCTAATATATATTTTTTAAGAATTTAGTATGTTTTTATATATAAAAAATACTTAAGCCAGGGTATTTTTACATATACAAATAATTACATACAGATATTGTCAAGGTGTGTTGGGTGGATATGTATATAATTAATACAATTGATATGTTAATCTAATTGTACCATTGATCTGAGAATTTGCACAGAACTTCCTAGAACTAAGGTTGGATAATTTAAAAGAATTTTTAGCATATATCCTAAGGAAACTGGACATAAAAGGTTTCACTTTGACAATGACATGGGATATATATATATATATATATATATATATATATATATATATATATATATATATATATATATATATATATATATATATATATATATAGTATATATATATAACTAGTAATATAACTTGAAGGAAAATTAATTGTGTTTGTAATAAATAGAGAGATAGTTCTTTGATCAGTCAGCAAAATTAGATATAATATCAGCACACATAATTATATAATTTATTATTAGATTTCAGTGATCAAACAACATTTTGTACAAATATTTTCTCAGTATAATAAGTGTAAAGTTTTAGGAAAGGGTTATATTAGTATTCATAAAAACACCTGATTATGTTAAAGTACCAACCCCAGTTCTGCATGCTTTGATTATTGCAATTACTACATAATACATTTTAATCAAGTTTCATATAAATACTTATTTATTTATTTTGGTAATTATTTGGATTATTATTTATAAAATCAAAAACATTATTGGTTGTTTAATAATTTGAAGGAATTACATTATCAATAAATTACTTTATAAATTCTTGCAGCCAGATCATGTGCAACCGGATTTTAAATCAATGAAGCCATCAGAACTTGATCCTGAAGTAGGAGCAGTGGTTGTGGGTTTTGATGAACATGTCAGTTATCCAAAACTTATGAAGGCTGCTTCTTACCTCTATTCTGAAGAATGTCTCTTCATAGCCACTAATACAGATGAAAGATTCCCTAAAGCAAGTTCAATAGTTGTGCCTGGTACTGGTACATTGGTGAGAGCTGTAGAAACATGTTCTGATAGAAAAGCACTTGTGCTTGGAAAACCACATGCTTATGTCAGAAAGTTTCTGGAGTCTTGTGGTCTTGATCCAGGAAGAACTTTGATGATTGGCGATAGGTAATTGTTTTATGAATTTAAGTTTAAAATATAAAAAATATTTTATGGGTATTCAGGGTTAACATAAACTAAATTAATAAAATAAATCTAAGTATATTAAGACAATTTTAACTATAGGAGTGATTATGTTATATTATAAAATGTAACAAATAAGCTCCCTTTCCATGTTTATAAATTTAGTAAGAATACAATATGAGTAAAATTTCTGTTGCCTTCTAAAGTGTGCCACCTTCGAATTATGCCATTTACATTATTGGATGCTCACTTATTGATACTAAAATCTATCTATAAGAAAATATATGACAATATTGAATACATACATCCTGTAGTATAGATACTATCATCCTTATTCATAAAAACGTCGAACATCTTATAAACCTGTTTTAGCCATTGAAGTGTTTTGTTTTTTTTTACGCTTAATTCACTAGTAACGGTGACAAAACAGTCTAATAGTTAAAGAGGTTTTAGTTTTTATGAATAAGGAACTACATCTTTAACGGTGTTCTCAAACAATAACAACAATAATGACTGGGACTTTTTATTAATGTTGACTTGTTATGATTGAGAAACAAAAATTTGTTATTCTTTGCAGATGCAATACTGATATTGAGCTTGGAGTACGCTGTGGTTTCCAAACGCTTCTAGTTTTGTCTGGTGTGACTTCTACTAAGGATTTGGAGAGAATTCGCAATGAGAAAAAGCCACCATTGCCAGATGTTGTCTTACCCAAATTGGGAGATTTACTATCTCTTATACCATCATAGTGCAATATTTTTATAAAAAAGTAGTAAATGAATTACATGTACCTTTTTTGGTACATATATTTAGGTCAATTTGAATACAATTGTGATAAGCTTAAACAGTATTTATTTGGATGAATCGTACATATTTATGTTAAAAATGTTTTTTTATTTTTTTAAGCTTTTGACAATGTGGTATCATCTATCATTGGAGAATATTCATAAGATAAACGCTACAATCTCACTGTAATTAGTATACAAATAGTGATGAATAAATGTTTTTCCAGTGATCGTATTGTACTTGTATTTACTTAAAATTTAATAAAATATATATTTTGGAGGTTGTCTTCACACTTAATATGCATAAGTACGTGACGTGTATTTATCACGACCATTTAATATTATATGAGTGAGCGGATATATATATTTTTTATGATAAAATTGGAATGATGATCTGCCTCTGCTATCAGTATACACTGGCGGGCACTAATGAGAGATGACAGATGAGGATAAAGTCAAGTCAGTTGATCCACCGTGACAAATTCAGCATTCAATAGTTTCTAGGGGAAACCATGTGGAAGATGACTTGACGGCGTATTCTTAGTAATGGCGTCTAGACTCTCTCGATATCGCTATTGTAAAAATCATGGCCACGAAATATCTTGAAATGCGGGTACGACTGTTGTCCCTGATAAAGATTAACATCTAAAAAAGAGGTTGAACAGATATGTTTACATTAATGGCTATGAGTAACTTCGTAATGGACTTCATTGTTTATTTTTTGTAGACGGCTCTGTTATTGTCACGTTATAGTGCTTTAAGTAAATAGGAGAAAGATGATGAATTTTGTCGTGGCTAATATCGAAACTCAGATTATTTATCTTCACGCAAAGTCCCTTGTAGGGTGGGCAAAGAAAATTGAGTTTCAAATATTAAAACATCTGACCGTTATGAGTCTATGAGATAGAATGAAATGATGACATTCGGTATCCTGTTCTTTCTGATATGAGTGCTAACCGAAACGATTCTATTAATAGATGCGTTTGACTTGTCTCTGATATGATATTTAGCTACATGTTTCCCTTATTTCTTAAAAAATATAATATACCTATATTCTTTCAATGAATTAACCAAAGACAGACTACAAAAGTCGTTTGCTTGGGCGCCTTTATCCCATTCGTGTTTCTACCGTGTAGCAGTTGTGTTTGCATGACTGTGTTTCGGTTTGAAGGGTGGGATATGGTAGTGAATTTTCACGGTACAGAGGAATAACACCTAAGTCCTCAGGAATGGCAATACATGGGGGTATCATGGGCGAAACAGTATGTTATGTCCATGGTATTGCTCATGTCTAAGGGCGACGGTTACCACTTTCCATCAGGTGAGCCGTCAGCTTATTTTCAATTCTAATTTGCATAAAAATCAGTCAGAGATTTGCATTTATAATTAATTCTTCAGTCTAGTTGTACATAAGTGTTAAAAATAATTTAATGTCGAATGTTATAAGTTAACGATAACGATAACAGTCAATAAGTCCCTCTGATTACCCCATCGGGAATTACAGTGTAAGTAGCTGTACAAAAAGAATTATGGAGTATCTATATTAGCAATTATAAGAAGTATTCAACACTACAAAACTGGTGATCTTTTTATTTCTTAAATTTAAATTATCTTAAAATATTACAAAGTATATATAGATGTAGGTAGATATAATAATTTATGACGCTCAGTTCATTACTCTGACATACTGCAGCGTTTTAGTTTTAGGCCAATGGATCGAGATTTTAAAAGCAACTATTACGATGAGTGCAGTGACGTCACTTATTTATAAACAGAATTTATAACCGCATCGTAAAATTCACAATTCTATAGGGTTTGGTATGAAAGTAGTTAGATTTTCCATTGTTTTGTTTTTGGTTTTTGTTAGTAATACAAGATTTTACAAATGTTACCATAAAAGCTATTTGAGAAAGATCGTGCGCCGTCGTATACTAAAAATAATTTTTGCCAAAACTGAAACTATCACATTTTACCTAATGAGATAGAAAAAATATATAACCATATCTACGTATATTACTCTAATATGCTTGTACTATAATTATATAAATGCCAGGGGTCTTTTCCTCTAGTGATCAGTCCGGTTTTAGATTAAGGGTACATGAGTATGCGACCTCGCCTTTCTGATTCACTGCAGTTACTGACCAATATGCTCACCGCAGCTGCAGTGTTCCGCTTTTAATTATCCTCATAAATCCTTTATTCCTTTTTTACCACCTTTATTCCTTCACTCCCAACATCTCTTCCCGTGGTGGGAGAAGGATTGTTAGTAATGGAGACATCAATCCCCATTACTAGCAATATACCCTGCCAAGTCGACCTCCACGCGGTTCCCCTTGGAAACCATCGTGATTAATTGTTAAATTCGTCGCAATAGTGTCTCACTAGTATATACCAATAGCACGGGCGGGGTTACCATTTCATTATCATCCATTATAAAATATCCCTTTCTTTTTTTAACTAACTTTTAAAAGAAGGAGAATCTCAATTCGATTGTATTTTTTTTAATGTTTATTGCCTCATAACGCCGGTAGTTAATTGATTTGGAAAATTATTTTTTTATCTGAAAGGATATGCTTACAGATGGGTCCCATAGAAATTTTATCAAATTCGGTTCAGTAGTTTAGTTTTTAAATAAAAATAAGTGGATTCGCCACAAGTGAAGTCGGTTTTTTATAGAACACTAATTGTAGTTAGTGTCTATGGAAGCACCTATGTATGTTTAACTTTATTATAAATTATCTCAGTTTGTGGTTAATCCACAGATTAGAGTTTTCTTGTATTTTAGTTTATTGATGATCGCTACTTATTAATAAGGCTAACGCCAAAATTAGAATTTTATGAATGTCTACAAGTGACAAGTGTTGCCTCAGTACCCCAGTGTAGGAATAGTGAATAATTTATTTCTACAGTTGTATACGTAGTTTTAACTACGCCATGACAGTTGATTCAAAACAATTGGTGCTATTCGTTTCTTCAGGTGACAAAAAAATTGATTTGAGTGTTTTTCTTACGATTTTCTATCAGGTTTGTTCTCATTTTATTTGTTTTTACTGTTAGCTAACCCAGGAATGATTTAGTTTTGCAGATTAACAATGTTTTTAAGTATTATTTGTGATATTAATTTTATAATGAGCCCATATTGAAATGTCAAGAAAAGTAGGTATGCTTAGAAATACACGTTTTGGGTAAAGCGGATAGGGCAAAGCGGATAAATTATCCGCTTTAACCCTTGTATTTTAGTTACATTTTTTTTTTTATTTCTTTTCAGAATGGTATTTAAGTACAAACGTAAAACAAATCAAGCTTCGTGGTCAGAAAGTTCTTTACAAAAGGCTATACAGGAAGTAAGAGAAGATAAAAAATCTATCAATGCAACAGCTAAAAAATATGGTATACCTTATGGTACCTTGTATAGACATCTCAAATCTGGTAGTCATATAAAAAAGTTAGGCAGATTTACTCCAATATTCACTTGTGATCAAGAACAAGAGCTATGCGAATACTTACAAAAGTTGGACAGCTTGTTCTTTGGTTTGACTCGTAACGACTTTTTAGAATTAGTTTACGTCTATGCCGAAAAAAATAACATCAACCACCGATTCAAGAATGGAAGAGCAGGTGATGATTGGTTTGCTGGCTTTAAGGCAAGGCATCCTGAGATAGTACTACGATCTCCAGAACCCACTTCTTTAGCGAGAACGCGAGGGTTTAATAAACCCCAAGTTGAATTATTCTATGCAAATTATTGGAGTCAAGTTGAAAAACACAATTTTGATCCCACCACGATTTATAACATGGACGAAACAGGTGTGAGAATGACAACTTCTAAGCCACCAAAAGTGTTAAGTGTCAAGGGTAAGAAACAAGTTGGTGTCATAGGGAGTGCTGAAAGAGGGCAATTAACAACAGTCATATGTTGCTGCAACGCTGCTGGTACTTTTATACCACCATTTTTTATTTTTGCTCGGAAGAGAATGCAGGAAAGACTATTAGATGGTTCACCACCTGGTTCACAAGCTACAGTAAGTGATAATGGTTGGATAAATGGACCAGTATTTTTAAATTGGCTTCAATATTTTGTTGAGAAAACTCGACCTACTAAAGATAGGAAAGTATTATTACTTATTGATAATCATGAATCACATAAATATTATCCAGCTTTGGAATATGCAACTAAAAATAATGTCGTGTTTGTCTCATTCGCACCTCATACAACCAATCGTATGCAGCCTCTGGATGTCGCCGTTTACGGCCCCCTTAAGAAATATTTTGAGCAGGAATTAAATATATTCCAAAAGAGCCATCCAGGCAGAATTATAAACCAATATGACATTGCACGAATATTTAGTGGAGCTTACGTAAAGAGTGCTTCTGTACACAATGCAATTCAAGGTTTTCGAAAACCCGGTATTTGGCCCTACAATCCTCATGTATTTAGTGATGAGGATTATATGCCTTCGACCATGACGGATCGTCCGTTGAATTCTGTAACAAGTGCTTCCTCATGTCCGGGGCAAGTAGAAAGTAATAGAACACCATCTCCTTCGATTTTTCAAAGTAGTGAGTCACTTATAGCACTACTTGCAACACAAGCACGTGAAGTTACACCAGAGCCTGCTATAGAAGAAGATTGCCCTATGAATGTTGAAATTATAACTCCATCGTATTTAGAAAAAGATAATGTTTCACAATCTGCTACAGAATATGATGCCAGCCATAGCAGCCATACTAATATGCCTTCTATCTGTACACCAGGTCCTTCTTCTATGACAGAACATACCCACCAAGTAATATCGACCTCTATACAGTCTGATTTACAAGAGATGAGTAATTCATCTTCAGCAACAGTTACCATTTCACCATACACAATAAGGCCAATACCAACTATGGCTGCTTCAAAAACTAATAAGAAACGCAGATGCCAAAAGTCAATGGTATTAACTTCTACACCTGTTAAAAACGAACAAGCTATAAAATACAAAAAAAATTATAATAAGAAAACTAAAATCTCAGATTTAGATGTCAAGAAAAAGGGAAAAGGAAAGGAAAATATGATAGCGAGAGGAAAAGTCAAGACTAAGAAAAAAATACATAATATCACGAAAAAAGTAAAAGGAAAGTATTCATGCCTGGTTTGCACCGAAGAGTATATTGATCCGCCTATAGAAGACTGGATCCAATGCTCAGAGTGCCACCGTCAGGCACATGAAAACTGCACATTGTATAGTGGATTTGCCAGTTATTTCTGCGATGACTGCCAGGAGTAACTGCCTAATCCACTTTGCCCGACTAGCTTATTCGCTTTACCCGCCCGGTCGGGTAAAACGAATAATGAAAGAGGTTTTAAATTTATTTTTTTTTCTATATGAAGATATTATATTTTGTTAATTTTGTATGTTACATTTGCAAAGGTGGTTATATGTGCCATAAATGAAAAATAAACGATGTTCCTAAGTTGATTATTTCTGTGTTATTTTTTTGCTTTTCCTTAACTTATCCGCGCTGCCCCTTCCCTAAGTAATTTATTTTACATTCCAGTTTTCCATTTATTTATACGATTTATTCCTCATACCAATTGTGGACATAACTCTTACAAATTTAGGGATATACATCAGATGTACTTATATAGGTTTATATTGTTTTGGTCTCTGTGAGGTGGTCAATTACGCAATGATATAGAATCAAGGATGTGATCATAAAAGTGATGAGATGTTGATAGAAATGCTGATCAAAATGGTAATGTTGAGGATGACCAGAGGATCAGGGTTGGTCACTCTGGCGATAAAATAGAGCGAGGAGCAAAAACGGTGGCGTTATGATACCTACATTTAAACACTGTCTGTGATATCATAACTTTAAAACTAAATAAAACGGATGATTAATGCGGTTTACTTTTTTATAAATGCTGACTTAATAAGGATGATACTTAAGAAATTATGTTTACTGTGTTGAGGATTATTTTTTTAATATTTAATTTAATTTAGTCTTTCACATTTTTAGTGTCTAAGTGGTTTGTGCAACATGTGATACATATACTCTGCTAAATAAAACCATTAACAGAATATTAAGTATTTCCTGTTACTACCTCAATTCCTCTTTTCTATGAAATGTGCTTTCTAATTTAGTTAAAAAAATATTTTCAACATTAAGTTGATTTTGAGTACGATAATAGCGACTACGAAAATAAATGTAGAAGTAGACATGAAACAGATATGGAACAATCTTCATAATTAAGTAAGTAATTTGTAACAAGCTTGATGTTCAGATAAAGTCCCGATCAAACGATTGATGTACAAATTGATAGCAGACACCAGACTGCCTAAAAATGTGATTCTATATATAAAACATTGATTGCGGTTACTTTTTTTATATAAGGATCTTTATTTTAATAAACCTAAATATATTTTAGGAGTGTTTTGGTGTCAATTTAATACCATATTCTTAATCTACATATTATAATTTAAGAAAGAAAAAACAAAATAAAAATAATATACAATAAAATAGAAGACATAGGCACCTGCTGCTATAATAAAATAATAAAAAATGTCACACAATCGCCCCAACTGCTTGGTCATATCACGTGAACATTCGTAAGGGGCATACAAAACATTAAATCCATTAATTGTTGACGTCGAGGGGTGAATAAGTCGGTGGGTTTCCGGATAGGTAGCTATTTCACGGGTATACTTAAGAATAACTTAGAAGTAGCTGCAATTGCATTATTTTTTTTAATTGTGCCAGTCAATATCGATGATTCATGGGGATTATATAGAGATCAATTTGATAGGGTACAATATTTTTTCTCCGAACAGATAGAAAGCCTTTTTGCCAAAAACTCACACTCGAATGCCCTTGTATTCGAGTTCTATATAAAGTCAATTAAAATTTAATGTTGTAGCTCTTTAGTGTGTTTAGATTTTTGTGTTTGCTGTTTCATGCGAGAGGATTATCATAGAATTTAAATGATCCTAACCATTTTTGATATAAATGCTGGGTGTACTTTGAAATGCCCATCTAGATTGATTATTTTGTTATACGGGAATTAAATTATTTCGGAATGCATTATATCACCTATTATAATGTCAAGAACTGACTCAGGAAACCAATTCTTTTATAAGATTTTAGCCTATTTTTTGGTACGCGCTGTGCGCGCATGCGTCGTTCTTTTGCGTTGTGCGATTCGCGCCGCACATCTCGATATACAGGGTCGCTAGGCCTTGGTCGTATACACCATACGCGACGGGAGTGGAGTTTCGCGCGCGCCAGTATCTGTGTAGCTACGAAAGCCGCGCACCGCCACCGCCGTCACCCTAGTGTGTTTATCGCATATCTCGGTTTATGTGATCTCATAGGAACTCATCTTCTAACTGGCTAATTGATGTGAGTCAATATTTATTTCGCTCTTATTTACATCGTAACAAAATAACATATATGATACCAAAATCTTTTTTATAGTGGGAGATTTGTTTTTTTTTTTTATTATTTAATAATAATTATTGTTTACGAATTTTACCTAGTTTAGACAGAAATACACAAAATAACTTGTATTGACATAAATTAGATGTCCAATACAAAATATCAAAATATGTAGGTAAGTACTTAGATAACTTTTTATGGTTTATTTTGGATTGATCATTAACAATTTATTTTAATGTTTTATTTATAAAAGAATATCATAACAAATATGAATATGTCTAAAATGTCGATTGCCGAAAACAAAGAAATGGCAGAGGAGTAAAACACCGCCGCGTCCCGTCCCATACCCCATGGCCCACCCCACAATGTAGAGCAGATAGCTAAAATTTCTGCCGTCACCATATACATTTAATAGTATCTACAAAGAAACGTAGACTATTCTTTCAATGTACGTAGCTAGTAGATACTCGTGAACTAAGTATTAATTACTACAATGTTGTTATTATTTCGCTAATATCACAATTAGAAAGAGACGTAATATCAAGTCAGGGGCTCAGGAAATTTCTAAAATAACATTAATAACCTTCAGTATTTTTTTATTAATGTACAAAGATAGCGTAATAAGCGATTATCGATAACATTTGTTTCCCTTTCGATAAAATGTTATCTCGAGTGTTACTCTACGCAATGTTGTTGTGCAGCTATTTTTATGAAATCTATAACAGAAGGTTGCATTAACAAAATGATTTTTAATAACCCCTACAGATTAATATAAAATATACACAAAACATCCCTACTTCAAAATTAATTAAAGATAAGCAATAGTTTTTAAAAGTGTTCTACTTGTACTTTCTCATGCCAAATATCTACTACTTACGCATGTACGCCAACTTTTATGTCGTCAAAAGAGAACAATTTCGTTTTATAAGTGCGAATTGCATTATATTTACTTTTATCAAACATAAAAAAGTGTATCGTTATATTCCTAACTTACATATTAATACATATTCAACGCATAAAAACAATTACCCTCGACTTCTGTAAAAATGCATACAGTGAAATCAAAACGGGTATTAACTTTATTTTCTAAGTGTAAAAATATCAACTAAGAATTTACTTACGCTTTAGAATATAATTATTAAGACAGAAATTTCGGAAAATGTAAATTAAGACAGAATTTAAACCATACATTAAGATTTATGAAAAGAAATCAACTTTAATTGTGGCCAAATTATGGCAATTAAAAACTAAACTATTTATAAACGAAATTTATAAGCAAAGTTATGACAATTTAAAAAGTAAACTATATAATGAACCGATTTTGATTTCCCGAATTTCTGTGGGACCAATCTACAGGTAGGTAAGTATATCCTTTCAGATAAAATGATAAATTTCAAAATTGTTTTATAATTGATAGAGTTATACGGTAACAAACATAAATAAAAATTACAACCGAAATGAGAACCTTTTTGAAGTCGATTGGAAATTAATATCTGGTCGCGCCGTGTTAGTATGGAGGGGTCAAAATTTTTTGTCGTTGATCGATGTTTTATTGGGAAAATTATTTAGTCTCATCCGTAGAGCATATCTTCAAAAGGATCTTCGATTTTACCTTGTATAGGTAAAATACATACAATACCTGCTAAGTACCTTGTATAGGTACTTAGCAGTATTGTAGCGCCCGTAGTACTTTTTGTAGCATCTGTCTTCTGTTACAGTAATAACTATTTTAAAAATAACGAAAAATCTGAGTCTCAAACTATACAATTAGGATGTTTTATTAAACTGATTCAGAATATTATTATATCATAATAAAGTAGGTCGACTTCATGAATGCAAAAAAAAAACTGAAATAAAGAAATCAAATAATTTTTTTATATAGGATTTTTGATCACTTATGATATTATTTTTTTTACTCTGCCATCTAGTTCGTCAAGCCTTTTATACCCAAAGATAAATAAATATTTTATATTACTTAATTCAAAAATAAATTATGTGATGTGGTTAAGTAGTTGTTTGTGCCTAGGTAGACATATAGGCTTAGTTTTTCACACGTATGTATGTAAAAATATATCATCACATTTGCCGTTTACTGTTCACTACTGAAAATAGCCAATGTTACCCCAAAATGAGGGGTTTTGCCAGTAGTTTCCATGCTTGGTAGACGGGTTGGAACTGTAGTTAGGCTTTGGTGATGTTTCAAGAGGGACGCTGCTGTCCATTTCTCAACTATTAAGTTTCCTTAGTCGCCTCTAACGACATCCACGGGAAAAGTAGGGTTGGCCCATTCTATGCAGAACTTTATTTTTTATATGCCGTGTGGCATATAAAATATATAACTCCTTTAAATAAGATAATAATTTATTTCTTATTTGCTATTTGTCGGTTATTAATATCTCCGTCATATGTACATCCCTAAATATATTAATTCAATCAGCTAATAATGATAATCATAAAATAATCTTTATATGTTTATTTTATTCTCACATATGTAGTAAATGAGAGTGTACTTTTGGTAGAAAGGACTTAGGTATTTGTGGTGTTTTATCGAATATTTTGATAAATTATACACATTGAATAATACCTACCTACTCGTAACTTCATCATCGGTAAAAATAAATACTGAGTGCATAATCAACGAGTCACAATTTTACATTTAACAATATTATTGCTGTGTGCGTTCATGTTTAAATTGAATAGGTATCTTTAGAATAACCAAGTCTGTAAACAGAATTATAAAAATCAAAGTTAAGTATATATCGAGGAAAATTTAATGCCACGCTATTACCTAGTAGTATTTCTCTGAATATACAAATTTAAGAAATATATAGACAGATTATTAAACTGTATAGAGATATTTTATTAAAAATACTTCCATAGTCACATCACAATTTGAATCTGGCGTTACAAACAGGGAAAGTTTATAGGTATAGAGCCATTAGCTCAACTCGAATATAGAAACTTGCAAGGCCGTTCACACCCTGTCTAGGTTTTTGCACGCTATTTCACTTTCCAGATTTCCCTCTATCGTAGATGCAGCATATATATGCCATTATTTTTATATTCGATAGCTTGATAGGTAATTTCAATACAGTAGTTAGATCAAGTAAATTTTTTATAATTTGATATTTAATATCAAATTTAGTATGAAAAATTTAAAATTAATTTAATGCTGGGAAAAACTTATAGATATTATCACTGGATTTCGCCATATACTCGTCACTCTGTAACATATATACATGATTTTAATAGTGGCGAACCTACTCGTATTTAGAGGCACTCGTGCTGTTTTATTGAACGTAAACACTCGACTCCCCAATTTCATCTAGAATATGCAAACTCAATTAGGTGATAGTTTGTGTGTTTTATCCGTGTAGTTTTTTATAGATGAAAATGTGCTGGTATAGCTGTGAGGGAAAATAGGTGAGAATGAAGTCAGTTCAGTCGGTTAATCCTCCGATGAATGTGCCAAGTATTAATCACATTTGTTTCCATGGGAGCTGCGTGGAAGTCGACTTGACAATGAATATTGCTACCAAAGGGGCAGCATGTGCCCGTTTACTAATAATTCCCCCTAGTGTTGGTATGTTAGGTATTGACACAACTAAACCAGCACCGTTTATCTTTGTCGGGAAATGTAATGCTCTTGTAAAAGTTCTCGTTTCCATCTGAGACGTAATATTTATCTAAATAGTAAATAGGTACTGTTGCAGATTCAATTTAATATGTAAGAATGAATTCTTTTTATTATTGCACGTACTGGCCACTTATACTTTTTTACTATTAAAAATACAATGCATTCTGTCGATTCTATTCAAATTTAGTAAAAAATGGATGTTGAAAACGTAATAAGTATTTTATTTATCTCATCGTCCTTATAAATATATAATAGTTTAGCCGCATTTGCATCGCAGTTATCACAGTTTTCAACAATTGGCGACCCTGCCAGGATGGATGCTAAGAAACGGTGTCGACGGGCGGCGAGAGCACAAGTTAGTAATATCTCTAATATTTTAGAAAATTTGTTAGATAAAGATGAACTAAATATATCGGAGATCGAATTGAATTATTTAGTACTTCAAGGAGTTATAAAGAAATTAGAAGTACTTGATAGAGATATAGAAATGTTGTTAGCTGAAAAAGATTATGACGAAAGTGGGCTAGAAAAAGAATATGAAGAGGTAATAGCTTACAATAAGAAATGGCTGACAATGAAAACAAGAGTCGAGAATGTTCTGTCTAAAACAAAAGAAGAAAGCGTTGGTTTTTCAGGATCTGAAACAGCAAAGAATTACAAATTACCAGTCCTGGAGTTAAGGAAGTTTGACGGATGTGTACGTAGTTGGTTACCCTTCTGGGGACAGTTCCAGAAAATAGATGAGGATAAACAGATGAATGATGCGGATAAATTTCAATACTTAGTCCAATCTATGATGCCGGGAACAGAAGTAAGATCTTTTGTTGAAAGTTTTCCTCCAAATAAATCAAGCTACACACAATGCATTTCTGATTTGAAGCGTAGATATGCACGTGAGGAATTATTGATTCAAGTTTATGTGAGAGAGCTACTTACATTAATAATAAACAAAGACAAAAATATGAATTTATCAAGCCTTTATGATCAACTCAACTCCCAGTTGCGCGCCTTAGAAACTTTCGGTGTAACACAAGATAAATATGCAGCATTTATTCTTCCAATGGTAGAATCGTCTTTACCATTAGACGTTTTGAAGGCATGGGAAAGAATTAAGCCAATTGAAGTACAAGATGAATTGGGAAGTTTACTACTGTTCATAAAACGAGAAGTCGAAAGCGAGCAACGAATTAAAATAGTGAAAAACTTTGGTAACACATCAGAGCAAACGGTTGCTACAGAATCGACAGCATCAACGTTAATGGCCGGAGTGAGCAGATCAGAAAGGAAACCTTTATGCATAAGGTGCAACAAAGGTCATGCTAGTGTA